TTTACAAAATCACCTTAGCATGGCGTTGTATGATTTGTCTTCGCTTGTCTAATGTTAGTGTTCTGGGGCTGGAAATCTTGATTGATTTAATGTCTGCACTACTACTGTCTTATGGTTGGCACCAAGTAAATACCAATTAAGCAATGAAACCCTAAAAGCATTTTTTCAGACTTTATTATGCTGTGTGTGTGTTTTTTAATGTTTATTTCTATCCAGTCATTTTAAAAAATTGTATTGGGTGATTCAGGAAATTTTAGCTTTGATTAATTCCATAATTTATCTTCTGTCTCAGTGATTGTTTCTATTTCCCACCCATGAAATCTCTGACTTCATAGATATGCTCCTATGTGTGCTTCTAAAAGCCTTTACCTCTAGGTATTTGGTCCATTTCAACTTGATCTTATTTATTTATTTCCACTTTCTATTTGGAATACAGTGAAAGAGGGAAGGGGAGAGAGATCATACCCTTGATGGTTTACTCCTCAATGCATTTAAATGCCAGGACTGTGCTAGGCCAAAACCAGGATTTTGGAATTAAGTCTGGATCTTACACATGAGTAGCAGGTACCCAAGTGCTTGGATCATTATCTGCATTGGCAGGAAGGCGCACGTCAAAACAGGAAACTGAACTCAAAGTGGATTTGCTAGGATGCAAAAACAGGCACTCTAACATGAGCTGAGAGTGTTACACATACTGCAGCTACACCGCACACCTGAACACCTGCCTCTCAAAGCAATGTCAGGTGGCATTTAAAGATGTTACTACGCATTGCTTTCCATGCGAATGGGTAGTTGGAACACTGAAGAATTCCACTCTCCCCATTGAACCACTTTTGTCAAAATGCAATAAACTTTTAAATAAGGATCTGTTTCAAATTTTGTATTTTGTCCCATTGATCTATTTATCCTTATGCTAATATCGCATTTAATGTTAGTTACTGTAGCTTAATAGTTAGCTTGAAGGTTGTAATTTCTCCAATTTTTTCCATGCTCATTTTATATCTGTTCTTTGTGTTTTCACATACGTTCAAATATCAGCTTATCAATTTCTATACAAAAGCCTTGTTGTAAAGATAATTAAGATCATGTTGAATGTACAGCTAATCATGGGAAGAATAGGCATCTTCATACTATTCAGCTGCTTAATATGTGGGTTAGGGAGTTTCTCCATTAGGTGTTTTAAAATGCATCTCTTTCAAGAAGCTATGGAGGAGCTTTTGAATGAAAAGTCCAAAACCTAACTCACGTGAGACATACATATTTGTGTAGCCTTCAGACAAACCAAACCCCAAAATAGACTAATTGACAGTCCCAATGAGAGTATTCTTAGAATTAATTTGATAGCCATTATGCATGTTTAGACAATTTCCCAACAGGATTGTGTGAGTATTTTCTGAGTGAGATTGGGTGAGATGTAGAACCTTGACTACAATTGTCTAAAAAGAAAGAAAAGTACATTTTTATCTCCTGAGGAAAGAAACACTTCTTTCAAAAGCTATCAGTTCCTTGAATGTGGGATTTTAACATCACACACCTTGTCTAAGGAAATTGAAAGTGTGTGCTTAAAATACTTTTGAGCTGTGATGAGTAGTTATAACTTGAAGAAGCACTGCCAAGAGCCCAATTGCCTAACATCCAAGCACTTATGGGGTAAACTCACCAAGACTGGCTCCCTACGTATGCCTTATCTCCAATTGCTGTCTGCCTGACATTGGGTGTTGGTTTAGTGGTCACTTAGTTTCCTGTCTTTGTTCATGCGTTTTTTCTTTCTCCTGACTAGAATCTTCTTGATCCCTTATATGATCTCTATCCTCCAGTAGATTCCTATGGTTATTTATTTTTTGAGAGTCAGAGACCTCCCATCCATTGATTCCTTCCCTAGAGTCCACGGCAGCCCACTGCTGGGCCGGTCAAACCGAAGAGCTGAGAATTCAGTCTGACTGCCCATGGGGTGCTGGGGCCTGATGACTGCTGCCTGTCAGGGTGCACATGGGTAAGGAGCTGAAATAAATAACAGGGTTAGAACTCAGGCCTGCATAGTCTGGCAGGATATGTGGCTGTTTCAGATGGTGTCTTAACCAGCAGGCCAGACACTAGCAGGAGGTGTATCGGAAAACTCCAGTCTACGCTTCCATCCTCCAATAAACAACTTTTCATCCTTGTGCTTCACCCAACCCGCATGTCTCCCTCCCTTGGCTGTGTGTGGAAGTCTGTCTGTGCTGTTTGCCAATTGTATTTTTCTCAATGTATTTTATCTGTTTATTTCTCCCCTATAAGGTGATGAAGGACAAACTTTTAATCTACCATTCTATGTTTATCTCTTATTTCTGCAGTGGCATATAATAGATAATCACTAAGTGGTGTTTTTTTTTTTACTAGACTTAGTGGAGATAATATTTGAAACTCTGAAAGTGAAATCTCCAAGAGAAATGTGTTGTAATTTTCATACTTTTATCTAAGAGGTCAGACTAAATTCACAGGAAAATGTTTAAAAGCTGGTTGCTCTCATGTTCTTTCTGAACAAATAGCCTGAATATATTCCATTTTCTTTATCTATTCACTCTCTTGGTTTTCAAGTAATAAATATCCATTTGAAATGGAGTGACTGCTTAAACTAATGTAAATATTAAATCAAACCACATGGAATCAGTTTTGTGGCAATTTCTGTGGTTCAACCTAAGGAGTGAGGATTGAGAGCTAAGCTGTTTTTCCACTGTTCACAAAGTCTGTGTTTCTTAGCGTTAGTAACTTTCCCAGCTGGTAAGGCAGCCACATACATTTTGTCAGGCGGTTGCTTAGGTTGAGCTGGGGAACAGGCACATCAGTCATTGCAGTCTGCAGATAAGTGAACATGTTACTAATTCCATGCTCACTCCCAGCTCGCTAGCCCGTGGCTCTCTGAGAGCTAAAATCATGTAACATCATTAAAATGTTCATTTGTACCTGTATGCCCATTCCACAATTGAATTTTCAAGTAGTTGATTACATTTCTCTCTGTGGATTCAGGAAACCATTAGTCTCACATTATCTAATTTATTAAACATATTTTGGTCCTTACAGCGTCTTCATTAGTCATCCCTAAACTCACTTAGCACAAATAAATAAGATGATGTTTGATGGTAATGAACGTCACTCCCCAGAGGAAGACCGACCCAGGAGTGCAGGCACAGTGGGAAACCCAGAGCAGTCCTCCTGGTGGGTGCAACAGTTCTTAGCTGAAGAATCTACCTGCTGTGAATTGGAATGTTGGTGTCAAGATGAATTTTAGCGCTAATGTGAATGCTTCTGTTAATTGTTTTCTTGCTCCTGATTCCTTAGTTTCCTTTAACTTTTAAACTTAAAAGATTCTTTGAAACTAAGTGAGCTGAAGATCTTTTAAAAACAAGAAACACATTTAGATGCGGGTGTACAGAAACTGCCCTGTGAAGAAAAATTCCAGATTTGTGACTCTATTTGCATTGCCACCAACACAGGATTCTTGTTCATGCTCGCTATGTGACGAATAGCAGCGTTAGAAATGGAGTGCTTCACAGCCTCGTTATGTGTGTGCTCTGGTTCTTGTTAGTATATTTGTAATGTGAGGCAATGGTTACAAGAGCTTCTGGGGTTTGTTTGTTTGTTTGTTTCCGCTTTTTTTCTTTTTTACAAAGCTGATATCTTAATGAATTTTGACTATCGCTGACCTCGTTTAAAGTAATCAAAATACTTTAAAAAAGTTAAAGGTGCTATGGTGCCACTATGCTCCAGGAAGAAATTGAGATGTGATCAACACACAAATTATTTATTAAGGAGTTCTGTAGGGCTCAGACCTTGCCACTTTAAACATCCAAACCTGTAACAGCATTGGCTGCAAAAACACAATGGAAAACAGTAAGATGGTGACATTCAGTGTATTTTAAAACACAGAAAATGACACATGTTAGAATTAGCCTATTCTCAGACAGGTCGTGTTTGGTGATAAAACCTGCTCCTTTGGTAATGCACTGTGTGAGTCACTTCCTTTAGTTATTCAGCAAGCACTGCCCTGGTGGCTCCCATAGCATTCTTCTGGTTTTGGTAATGCAAACTTGTACCTTCTTGATGTTCCTGGATGCCTCTTTGCAGCATTCAGTGTGTTTTCCTTGGGGGATTCAGCCAAAGTTTGACCACTGCACACAGCATCTGTGAGCTCACTGTTATGCTGTTGCCCTGTGTGCTGTTCAGTGTCTACACAGCACGGAGCTTATGCAGATTTTGTTTCTGCGTGGCACACAGGCCCTCCCCCAAGAAGGATGTGCTAGGGCTTATGGCCCATTGCCACACAGAAAAACCAGATGAGGGTGGAGAGAGTAATGGATGCCCATTCCATGTCACTCTCCAATTTGTAATGAAAAAGTGGAAAACCCTGGCTTGGGCCATGGGCCTATGTCCCCTCTCCGGCTCTGCTATCTTCCAAGCTTCTCCAGGGGCTGCAGGTCCGAGGGCTCTGTTCAGTATGTTTGTGGAACTGGACTGGTATTTCTTTCTGAGCCCTCAATGTGCTTACCATTGGGCTTATTTAGCTTGAAAATCAGTGTTACCAACTGTTTGAATCCAAGAAAGGACCTTTGAGACCATAAACCGGTTCCCTTGCTTTACAAAGAAACTGTGGCTAGGACAAGAATGAGCATTTGAGTTCCCATCAGGAGTGCTTCTCACTGCAATACACCTCACTTTGTGTGTCCTGGCAGCAACATGTCCATCACAGCTGGGTCCCCAAAAAAGGTCTGATCGCTTTTTGGGTCTCATGAAATATGTGCTGAGCAAACTTTCGTTTACCATATCCGTCTGCTTGGGCTTCGGCACTTACAGGGTTTGCTAGACTGTGTTGTGTATAAGTACAACTTGTCATATAAGCCTTCCTGTAGTGCATAGAGTAGCTTCAAGTTCAACTTTAAATGCGCAATATATACATGCAATATTTGTAGAGGTACGTTACTGAATAGTGCATTACTTAGTATACGTTGTGTTTTTTGTTACAGGTAGAGGAAGTGATCGCATGTGTTCGGCCAGCATCCAAGTCTGTGAAAGCTACTTCAGACAGTAGCAAGGAGCAAGGAAACCAGAGGTGCGCCCTCCTCAGGCTGACTCTTTGTAGTCATTTCTTAGAGTGCAGCTTCCAAAATTTTTTAAAGTTTAAAAAATGATTCATAGCATGAATGTTCATGTTTGTAACCAGAGCCTCAGGCATTTATTTGCTTCGTAAGGCTTGTGATGCCTGGAAAACAAATCTGTGCACACACAGGTCCCAGCTTCTTGGGGTTGTAGTAATAAGACTGATAATGTCGACGCCAGCGAGTGCTGATACTTGCCAAATGCTTGCTCTGTTGGCAGGCACCACTCTGCGTGCCTTACCCAGACAAGACATGTAATCTTCACAGTCTATCCTCACTTTGCAGATGGGAAAACTAAGGGCCAGAGGAACTTGGTGTCCCGAAGGTCATGCGGCCTTGACGCGTCGGGACCCTTGGTCTCAGCTGCCTCTCTTCTGTGATCTGTGATTCCCAACAGAACTCTCACTCTTTGAAGGGTGTATTTAACCTATTCTCTATACCCCTTGGCGTCCTGAAGCCTCTCTCTGATTGCTAAGTGACAGTTGGCTGTGCTTCCTAATACCCCCTGGACAAAGCCCATCTCCCTGACATCCCTGGAACTCTTTTTTCACAAAGCTCTTCTAATTCTCAGCTCTTCTCTAGAACGAGATCCCAACTCTTTCCACTGTCCCTCTACTTACAATTTCCAGATGGTAAGTTCTATTTTGAACTAAGGCAAGCTATCTTTGTGACACAAATGTATATGCTAGAATTAGAAGCATAAAAATACCTGAGCTAGAACTATCTTTGTGTCTTCATAATAAAGCAGTTATGTATTTGTATTGCCAAAGACAACTGCTGAAATTTTACTGAGTTTTTTTTTTTTTTAACATGAGGTTTGTTTGAACAACAGGTACAAAATTGAATTCCAACTGAAAAGTATGTTACTGTTTTTAACCTTGGAAATCCGCTTATCTTTCCAAGCTCGATTTCCATTGCAGATACAAGATACAAGGCTATTGAGACTATCATGAATATTCACGGTTGTAATTAACCCCCAGCAGCATCAACACATGTAAAGAATCTGAATCTAATTTGTGCGGCATCAGAGGGACGGGGAGGCAAATCCTTGCCAACAGTTTGGAGCTGGTTCTCAGACCCCAGGAAAACTATCAGTACCGTGATTACACTTGAGAATTCAAGACATCTTAGCACAGTTCTTCACAGCAGTGTTTTTCAAAGGCCTCCTCTCTCATCTTGGTAACTGAGGAGTGGTCCCTGCACAGCCCCACACAGAACACGTATGTGAAGGTCGATTGTTCCGCTCATTGTGCACAGCGACGAGCTAACCGGACAGCTGTAGATGGAAGCTGTACGTGAAGGACTGAGGGTGAGCAGGGGTGCTGGTTTGAGGGGTAGAAGGGCAGATGTGATATCCCTTCTACCACTATCTCAGCCACACTGGTCCCTTTCTCATGTCATAGAGTCAGAGTGAGGGGTGCGGAGGGGGAGGAAACACAGGGTGGGACGCTCTTCCTCAGGACTGAAGGACCCACTCCGGTGACTCACTGTGGTGATCCTGTGGTGCTGTGGCACAAAGGAAGATGTACACCTCCCTCACAGTCACAGGTGGCTTGTGAGCACCGACCACTGTGCACAGTCCGATTTTGTTCCCAACGCTGCATAACAGGACTGCTATTTCTGAGTTATTTCTGAAGGCCAGAGATATTGGAGTTGCCAAGAGCATGGAAGTGACAAGTAGTGGCATCAGGATTAGAAAAATTTGGGCTCCCCTCCTTCTTCTGTTCATGGAATCATTTGGTGAGCAGAGCTTTAAAGTAACCAAAATCATTATGCTTCCTTTTAATGAATAATGTCTTGTCCTACAAATCTCCCTATTCTGAGATCGTAGATGCAGTCCCTTTTGGGTTTGCCTTTCACATTTTAGGGTGAAATCCATCAGAAATGCATTTTGGTTTAAGGTGTGGTCACTTAGTATTTTTTCCAGTGTGAGCTCCCAGCTTTCCCAGGATCTCTTATTCAAAAGTTGATCTTTTCTGTACTTGCCATCAAGGCCATCCCTGCCACAGATCAAGTCCACTTGTGTCCATGTCTGTTTCTGGATTCTATAGCATTCAACTTTCTTTAGAGTAAGCCTGGTTAGAAAGTCTTCCAGCCAGGGCTTGAATAATTTGAATATTCTTGTTCCTTCATACTTCCATATATATGTTGGACTCAGCTTGCCACATTTCACAGCAGCATGTAGTGGACTTATATTTGGAATTAGATATATAGATTTGGAGTGAGAAAAACCATGGTAGTTCGTATCTTTTGTTGCTCACATTTATTTGATGTCTGTCAATTTTATAATTTTTCTCATTGTTCATTACTTTTTATAGTTTTGACATCTTTGATGCATTATAAATATATTTTAATATTGTTACTACTTTATAGATTTACAGTTTGGTGTAATAAAGTACACATAACATCAAATTAAGCATTGCAAGCTTTGCAAATGCAAGCAGTTCTGTAGCATTTGGTGTTGTCATAATGTTTTGTAATCGTATCATTCAGTTTTGTGTTTGACTTGTACTTAGCAACCTTGTTCATCAGTTCTATTATTTTATTAATTTACCTTGGATTCTTTCAAGTTGTCTGTATATTTGCCAAAAATGATAGCTTCTTTCTTTTCAATCCATATTTGCTTTTCTTTTTTGTGCTTTATTGCACAGGGGAAGGCTCCAATATATAGTTAACCCAGGAGTGGTGGCAGGTGTCTTTGTCTTATTGACTGCCCCAAGATGAAAACATTTCATTGTTTTCCTATTGGTCAAAAGATCTTATTTAAGCATAGTGAATGCATTTTAGAATTCATGGTTTCCTACTCCAATATCTGAAATTGTTACCATTTCTGTTCTTACTACTTCTGTTGTTGATGGTCATGATGAACTGCCTTTTGGAGTCCGTCAAGGTGCAGTGCAGCTGGAATACCTAGAGGAGACTTCGTCCACCCTGAAACACCTTCCCCAGGCCTTGAAGGGCCAGTTCCCTAGATTCCAGGCGTGGCTTTTCCACTGCTGCCTCTCGCTAGTAAGAAACCCAGTACACGTGACGCGTGGTGTGTACAGGTTCTTGCTCCCCAGATTCGAGGAAGTTGGTAACCACGCAGGGAGACAGACCACACTGAACCTGAGTCGTGCTGCGTTGCCATAGAAAGTAGCGTGAAGGTTCTCACAGTTCTAGGAGGCCTTTACCGAGGAATATTAGCACATTCTATGGAACAGACCCCTAGGAACGCTGCCAGTTCAGGAGCTATGCCACCAACATTCATGGCTTCCAAGCCCCAGATGCTGTAAATGTGGCAGCATGTGGAAGCAGAAGAGCCCTCCTCTGCCCTTCTAAAGCTCCTTTCCTTGATGCCCTGAGGAGCGGGACAGCGAGGAATTACTGATTCACCTTGGAGCATTTTATTCACTTACTTGGAAGTCAGAATGACATAGATAAAAGGACAGACACACACCCCTTCTATTTGATGATTCATTCCCCTAGTAGCCTAGCAACTGAGAAACTTCATGTGGTTCGCTCAGGTAGGCAGCTGCAAGCTGAGCTCCCAGGCCGTCCTCCATTGCTTCTCAGGGCCTGAAGTGGGACTCTGCAGCAGAAGCACAGGGTAGTTAGGTCTTGAACCAGGTGCTCTGCTGACAGGCAATGCACGTGTCCCAGTGGCGGCTGCATCACAGTGTCCTGCCCTTTCTACCTCTGAGGAGTGCAGAGTATCCTATGTTCTGCTCATCTAACAGGCTTTGACCTCTGTCCTCGAGTTCCGTACAGTCAGCAAGACCAGGGCACCACCTCAAGTCAGCAAATACCCTGAGGATGCAGACAGCTTCAGAGTCCTGACCTCACTCCTCATGATCCTATCAGACTTTTCATGTCTCAAGGACTTCCTAGTATTTTTAAATTTTATTTTTATAAAGATTTATTTATTTGTATTTGAAAAGCAGAGTTACACCGAAAGCTTTTACGCACTGATTCACTCCCCAAATGGCCACAATGACAGGAGATGAGCTGATCTGAAGCCAGGAGCCAGGAGTTCTTCCAGGTCTCCCACGTGGGTGCAGGGACACGAGGACTTGAGCCATCCTGTACTACTTTCCCAGGGCATAAGCATGGAGCTGGATGGGAAGTAAAGTATCTGGGATAGAAGAAAGTGCCAGTATGTGCTGACCCCACAGGGAGAGGCTTAGCCTGTAAAGCCATGACTTCAACCCCAAGAACTCTCAAGTGTTAAACAGGGAATTTGGTCCAAATGTCTTAGCCTACCATGTTACAGGGCAGAAATGAGCAGAAGTTGTTTCTTTTAAGTTCTTTTTTAAAAAATTCATTCATTTTTTACTGGAGAAGCAGGTTTGTAGGGAGAGAAAGAGAGGGGGAAGAGAGAGATTGAGAGAGAGTCCATCTGCAGGTTCACTGCTCAGATGGCTTCAATGGTTCAAGATAAGCACGTCTGAAACTAGGAGCCAGGAGCTTCCTCTAGGTCTTCCATGTGGGTACAAAGGCCAAGGACATGAGCTATCTTCTGTTGCCTTCCCAGGCCAAATGCAGAGAGCTGGATCAGAAGTAGAACAGCTGGCATTCAAACTGGTTCCTATATAGGATGCTAATACTGCAGATGGAGGACTGATATGCTAAGCGATAGTGGTAACCCCAAGAACATTCTAGTGTTAAGTGGAGAATTAGTCTAAATAGTTAGCCTACCATGTTAGGGGCTGGGGAGAGAGATGTTTCAAGTTCTTCAATAGAAGGAATCAATGATGTGCTTTACACTAGTGATTGAATTTAAGTGTGTTGTCTATTTTTCCTTGGTGATGAGTATGTTCCTTGTGCTTCAAACCAGGATGTATGAGGAAATAAAGGGCCAGTTCTGCCAGTCGGGTGGTGGGAAAGCAGTGCCGAGTGTCCACGCTTTGGGCCTTGGGCGCGCAGCAGGAACATCGGGACAAAGGCCAATCCCCTTGGTTGTGGGGTTGCCCGA